ATGAACTTTCATAGTTTTATCTTTTAGATAATTTAATAAGTTGAAAATTAAATTACAAAAAAAAAATAGTGGGGGGTTATGCTGCATCTCCTGAGAGCAGAGTACTTGAATAAGTAATCTGGAATTCTTTTGAACAGGATACTTTCTATTACCCTTTATCTATTTATCATTTATTTATTAATAGTGATTCATGGATATTTATTTTATACTTTTGGTTATAACCCAATACTACATCCTTGTTTTCCTGGTCAAATTGTTTCAGCTTTGGAAATTGGAAGCTTTCTGTTGGCTCATGTGCACCTTATTTTTTCTTTTTTTTTTTTAAGTAGTTTCTTGTTTTCTGTTTTAAATATTATTTGTGAATACACTGAGAAACACTTCAAATAACACTCTAATTTTTTTGTTTTTAAATATCAAGCATAATTTCTTGATAAAACCCCAGTGGGAGGATAATCTATTATCCTCACCAAAGAGTAACCCCTTTTCTTACTCATTTATGTATTTATTTGTTTACTTTTGGCTGCTCTGGGTCTTCATTTCTGCGAGGGCCTTTCTCTAGCTTTGGCGACCTGGAGCTACTTTCTGTTGGAGTGCACAGGCTTCTCTCATTGTGAAGCATGGACTCTAGGGCACTTGGGCTTCAGAAGTTGCAGCATGCAGGCTCAGAAGTTGTGGCTCATAGGCTTAATTGCTCCTCTTCATGTGGAATCTTTCTGGCTAGGGATCAACCCTAAATCCCCTGCATTGGCCAGCGGACTCTTATCCACTTCACCAAGAAGTCAAGTCCAAATATTAAGCCTTTCTATTCCTCTTTTTTGCTCCTGACATTCCACATTTCCTTCTGTTATCATTCGCCTTCTCCTTTCAAGAACTTCCTTTAGCAATTTTTTTATTAAGTTCACTAAGAGCACATTCACTCAATTTTCCTTCATCTGAGGATGGCTTCATTTCATTTTCATTCCTGAAGTATATTCTCACTGGATGTAGAATTCTATTAACAGTTCCTTTCTCTTAGCACTTGAAAAATGTGCTGTTTCCTTCTGGCCTCTATGGCTTCTAATGAGAAATCACAAGAATTAGAGACATTCTGCCCAGGAGCCAATGTATCATTTTTCTATGACTGCTGGCCGCATTCAAGAGTTGTTTTTTGGTTTTTTCTTCTAGCTTTCAGTAATTTGATTTATGATGTTTTGGAGCATGATGATATTTTGGGGCCTACTGTTTTGGGGACTGACTCTTCTTCAAACTGTAGGTTATACCTTTCCCAAATTTGTGAAGTTTTCAATCATTATCTATTCAAATATTTTTTTCAGCCCTGCCCTCTTCCACCTCTCCTAAATTTTAGATCTACTCTTAATGTCTTACCAGCCTCTCAGATTATGTTTATTTAAAAATTCTTTTTTTTTATTTAAAAAGGCTTAGTTGTGGAAAAGAACATATAAAGTTTACCATTTAAACAATTTACCACCTGAACAATTTCTAACTGTACGGTTCAGTAGTGTTAAGCATATTTACAGTACTGTGAAATCAATATCCAGAAGTTTTCATATGGGAAAACAAACTCTATAACCAGCAAACAACAGCACCCCATTTCTTCCTCCACCCATGCCCCAGCAACCATCAGTCTGCCTTCTGTTGATATGAATTTGATTCTACATACTTCAGATAAGTGGAATCATACAGTATTTTTGTTTTTGTGACTAGCTTATTTCACTTAGCATAATGTCCTCAAGGTTCACTCACATCGTACCATGTGGCAGAATTTTCTTCCTTTTTAAGAATGAATAGTATTCTAGGACTTACTTGGTGGTCCAGTGGTTAGCACTCTGTTTTTCCAAAGCTAGGGGCACGGGTTCCATCCTTGGTCAGGGAACTAAGATCCCACATACCCCGCCGATCAGTTAAAAAAAGAAGAGTAGGATTCCATTGTATGTATATATTATATTTTGTTTACCCATTTATCTTTCTATGGACATTTGGGTTGCTTATTCCTCTTGCCTACTGTGAACAGTGCTACTATGAATATGGAAGTGCAAATATTTCTTTAAGGTCTTGCTATTAATTCTTTTGATATATACTCAGAAGTAGAATTGCTGGATCACATAGTAATTCTATTTTTAATTTTTGAGGAACTGCCATACTGTTCTCTATAGCAGCTGCACCATTTCACATTATTTTGTGTCTAGTTTCTTTGAGCATTGTGCTTCAGATTCATCCATGTTGTTGCCAATAATAAGGCTTTGTTTATTCTCATTACTATGTGGCACTCCATTAGGTGAAAAATCCTGCCATTATTTATTCTACTATAGACTTTGGGGTTGTTTCCAGGTTTGAGCTATTTAAAAGAGTTCTGTTATCAACATTCTTCTGTGTTTCTGGTGTTAAAGAAAATACGTGCATGAGTGGTAAGTCACTTCAGTCATGTCCGACTCTGTGCCATCCTACAGACTGTAGCCTGCCAGGCTCCTCTGTCCATGAGACTCTCCAGGCAAGAATACTGGAATGAGTTGCCATGCCCTCCTCAAAAAAAAAAAAAAAAAAGTATGTATACACAGTTCTGCCAGGTTAAATTCCTAGGAGTGGAATGATATTCTGGTGACTGTTATATTATGGTTTTGATTTAAAATTTCCTGATGACTAGTGGAATTAGCACAGAACTTTTCAAATGTTTATGGGCCATTTGTGTATCTCCTCTTCTGAAGTGTCTATCCTATATTTTGCCCATTTTTCTGAAAGTTTGCTTCTTATGACTTTGCAAGAGTTCTTAATAAATTCTGGATATGAGTTCTTTGTCAGATACATGTGTTACGATATCTTCTCCTCTTTGTGGCTTTGTTCTTCACTACTCTCTAAATGTAGTTTCTTATGATAAACTGATGTTCTGACTATTGACAAAGTTCAACTTTTCATTTTTATTTGTCTTTTAACATTTTCTATAACCTCATTTAGAAAATCCTTACCTAATCCAAAGTCATTAAAATACCATGTTTTCTTCTAAGAGCTTCATTGTTTATCTTTTATATTTAGGTCTGCAGTCCATCTGGAATCAATTTTTGTGTACAATTTGAGATCTGCATCAATAGACATTGCTTCCTCATATGACTTTCCAAATGACCCAGTACCATTTTTTGAAGACCATCCTTTCCCATTCCACTGCTGTATTTACCCACACCACCTGCAATAGCTGCAGAGCATTCCATTCTAAGGCACTCTCCTAACTTATTCACCATTCTTCCATGGGATATTTGACTTATTTTCTGGCCTCTGCCATCATCAAACAGGGTGACAATCTCTGTATGGACATCAAGGCCTTCTTCTGAAATTGTTAAAGCAGAGTACAATTTCTGAGCCAGAAAAATATTTATTTTTTTGAAGAATTAATAAATTATACGGTTCACATTTCAAAAAATCCAAATAGGCCCAGTGAAAAGACAGCCTCCTATCTTGCCCCCAATCCTTCTGGTCCCTTCACCAGGTAAGCACAATCATGAAATCTTGAGTATTTTCCAGGCATCTTGCAATACATGAACAAGCACTATTTATATTCTTTTCTTCTTTTCTTTTTACACAGCTAGTGGCACTCAATATACTTTGTTCTTCCTCTTGTCCTTTTGACTTAACAATACATCTTAGAAATCTTCTCATTACTGTACATAGAAAAGCATCCTGGTTCATTTTTAAGGTAGCGTAATTGACGCGTGTATCACAATTTAGACAGTCTCCTATCGATGGACATCTATGCTGTTTCTAAGTTTTTGCAATTCATCTGCACTTCAATGATTGACTTTTCACGTGTCATTTCACATGTGTGCAATGTATCTGTTGGGGGAGGTTCTAGAAGTGGGTCAAAGAGGATATACAGCTGTGATGTGATTATTTTATTATTATTTTAGTTGTGATTGGATTATTTTACGGTTTATCTCATCGTGTCTGAGATTAAACACTTCTTCAGAAGTTTTAAAAAGCTTCTTGCACCCCAGGGCTGGCGGCGCCAGTGTGCGGGAACCGGCCGAGCGAGGGATGGCGCCGGGCGCTCAGGGGGACCACAGGCAGCTAGTACTGGTTGCCTATTGCCGCACATCCCAAAGATGAAAATAAATGAGCTTTCAAAGTGCCTAGGGCCCCCTCCCGGGTAGTGATATAAGTGAAAAACTAAGCAATTAAAAAAAAAAGCTACTTGCTTTTGTCAACATCCTTTGACGGCATGCACTTCTTAAAAATCTCTCAGTCTGCAAATTCTTCCAGTGTTTCCTTATTAGAAGTCCCCAGCCATTGTCTTTCTGTGTCAGAGTTTGCATTTTTTAAAAGTTGTCCTTAAATGCTGCCATTTGACGCTCCCTCCACAGCGCAGACCGGAACCCGTCTCGCTTCAGTCATCACTGGCTCTGGGGCTTAAAGGCTGAAAATGGCACCTGTGTGTTTTCCTAGGTGGAAGCTGGCACCTCTAGGTAAGGGGGCGGAGGGATCCTGGCCTTCTGCGGGAGGAGCCCGCCCCTCCCTGTAACTTTTCGGCCTTGCCCTCGGCGCCGCAGTCACGCCCCCGGGTGGACGGCCCCGCCCCTCCCCGCGCGGTGCTCGCCTCCTCCCGGAAGAGCGGCTCCACCCTCCCGCCAACTTAGCGCCTTCCAACCGCCTCTCGGCTTTGCCCTCGGGCTGCGTGGCCCCGCCCCGTTGCGTAACCTGGCATCACTGGTCACGTGGTGCTCGGCAGAGCCGAGAGGGATCAGCGGTGACCATCGCTCCCGCCCGCACGGTCTGCGCACGGATGACTTCCGCTGAGTGAAGCGCACTGAGGCGCGATGGCGAGGTCCTAGGGAAAGGCACTGAGAGGCCCGGACACCACCCCTAGTTGCCCTCGGCCTCCTGGCCCGGGCGCTAGTTTCCGCGCCGTTGCTAGGCAGCCGCGTCTGGGGCGGGAGCCGGGGCGGGCTAACGCGGAAGGGTCCGGTGCCAGGGAAGGCGCTGTGACTGCGGAGGGTCAGGGTTCAGGGCAGAGGGCCATGGAGCAGTACTGCATCTTGGGGCGCATAGGGGAGGGTGCGCACGGCATCGTCTTCAAAGCCAAGCACGTGGAGGTGAGCATCCAGCCCCTTCCTCCTTCGGTTCCATTGAGATCTCCCCGCCTTCCTGACCCATGCTTGGGCCATAGCTTCTGCCTCCCGGTAGTTCGTCCTGGCGTGCGCCCGCCTCTTTTGCCCGCGGAAGGGAGGGCTTCCGAGTTGCGGCCAGCTACCAACCGTGCTTTCAGCGAGTTCCCCTAGGACCCTGGCGTGGATATCTCTGAGTTGTTTGCCCAGCTCTGCGCCTCTTGGGCCTGATTTCCCCCCAGTACGGGTTGAGGGGCGCGTTCCACCCCCACGAGGACCTCAACCCTAGGTGTCGCACCCCTTTTCTCAGCCGGGACGGGCTGGCAGCGTCTGCATTCTGTCCCAAACAGACTGGAGAGATCGTTGCCCTCAAGAAGGTGGCCCTGCGGCGGCTGGAGGATGGCATCCCCAACCAGGTCCTGCGGGAGATCAAGGCCCTGCAGGAGATCGAAGACAGTCAGTATGTGAGTGGGGCTGGTGTTCTGAGGGGCTGTCCCGCCCTCCTTGCTCACTCCCACTCTGAGGGCCTGCGGTCACTGTGTTGCCTCGTTTGCATCCTCACCCCTCAACTCACTGCCTTTCTTGTCCACATTCGTTCACCCAGTTATTTCATTCCTCACTCATTCCCTCTTGTTCACCCATTTATTTCTTGCCTACTTGTTTATTCATTGACTGACTTATCCTTTTTCTCAAAGCGTATAGTGATTTCTCATGATAATGATTATTGCCACCTGTTGAGCTCCTGTTAGGTTCTGCAGGCTGGGTTAACTGCTTTATGTACACGGTCCAGCTTGTGTGAGCTAGTTGGAGGGCCCATGGGAAGTTGGTGATACAGTCCTATGTCCTGTGTAGCAGGCCTGAAGGGTCTATCTTTAAAACACTCCAGATATTCCCCTGGCCCAGGCCATCCTCACCTCTCATCAAAACAACTGCAACAGCTCCCCCTTCCGTCCTCCACCTTCCCTGCCGCTACTCCCACTCCACAGTCAAGAAAATGTAAATGAGTCCACTCCCCAGCTTGAGAAGCTCCAGTGGCTTCTTTTCACTCTGAAAGAACTCTATCTGCTTTGGCTCATGCCAGCCTCTTCATTCATTCAGCAAGATTTCTTACATGTCTCTCTGAAAAACAGCACTGTCGAGACTCCAGGAGTATAGAACAGAGCAGCCTCCTTCCTATTCTTGCCTTGGGGCCTTGTGTTTGCTGTCCCCCTGCCCACAGCTCCTTCCCAGATCCCTGTATAACAGACCTCGCCCCATCTGTCCTCTTCTGTTTTCATCAGAATACCCTATAGGTTTGTTAGTTTCTCAGTCATTTGTTCCCCAAGCTCCTTAAAACCCTTGAGAACCCACTGGCCCTCCCTCCTGCTCACTGCTGTGTAGCCAGCCCTGTGACCTTGTGGGCCCCCAGTTTATGTGGCATGTCTCCTGCTGTCCCAGTGCTGGGAGCTGTGATCACTTGTGTGTATGTGTGTTTCCAGATGATTTTCCAGTTTGAGGGCTGGGTGGGGGATCAGACACTGCCCTATGTGGCCTTTCTTAGACCTCCTTCCTCCTGAGGGTTTGCTAGAGCTAAATCACTTCAGTCGTGTCTGACTCTTTGCCACCTCATGGACTGTGACCCGCCAGGCTTCTTGTCCATGGAATTCCCCAGGCAAGAATACTGGAGTGGGCTGCCATGTCCTCCTCTAGGGGATCTTCCCAACTCAGGGATCAAACCCACATCTGTTAGGTCTCTCGCATTGGCAGGCGAGTTCTGTTCCACTCGTGCCACCTGAGTGTTTACCACGGGATTCCAGTAGGGACTTGCCTTCTTCTGGGAGAAGGGAGCAAGAGAGCACCCAGCTCCCTGATCCTGAGCTCAGGTCTCTTGTCACCTTCTCTGCCTGCCTGGTCCTCTGTTGGCGCAGGGGCTGAGGGTCCGGGAGAGTCTGAGCCATGTGAGTCTGGAGGCTGACGGGGTACCCCATTGCAGGTTGTGCAGCTGAAGGCCGTGTTCCCACATGGCGCGGGCTTCGTGCTGGCCTTCGAGTTCATGCTGTCTGATCTGGCTGAAGTGGTGCGCCACACCCAGAGGCCACTGGCCCAGGCGCAGGTCAAGAGCTACTTACAGATGCTGCTCAAGGGCGTCGCCTTCTGCCATGCCAACAACATTGTGCATCGGGTCAGTGCCACCATGGGCTGGGGTGGGCCTGTGGATGGCTGGGCTGGAAGTAGGCCAGCCCTTGATAAAGGGCATGGTTTGGGAGGGGACAGAAGGGGCAGGGCCTGGGGACAAGTGATCGGGGTTGTGGCCCTGGAGGAGACCGGGTCCTGAGCTCACCCGGGTGTCCAGCCTGCCAATCCCTCCTGTCTCGAGGTCCACTGGGGGCTCTAGAGGGACTGATGCTTCTTTTGGTGCCCTCAGGACCTGAAACCAGCCAACCTGCTTATCAGTGCCTCAGGCCAGCTCAAGATAGCGGACTTTGGCCTGGCCCGGGTCTTTTCCCCAGACAGCAACCGCCTCTACACACACCAGGTGGCTACCAGGTAGGGAGGACCAGTTTCTGGGCGGGATATGGCAAAGGATAGGCCCCCAACCTTGCTACTGGGGAAGAGATGATTTTGGACAGAGATGTTCTGTCCAAACAAGTGCTACTGGGGCTGGCGTGGGGGTCAGGGTGGCCTTCCAGGGCAGCTTTCTGACAGACCAGCGACCCACCTGTGACCCCTGACCTCCTCTCATAGGTGGTACCGAGCTCCCGAGCTCCTGTATGGTGCCCGCCAGTACGATCAGGGTGTCGACCTCTGGTGAGACTCCTGTGGGCTAGACAAGGGGGGATGTGGGTAGCTGAGTCACCTCTCCTCCTGAACATTGAGGTTTCTAAGCTATTTGGGGGTTTTCCCTGCTGTGAGCTCTAGGTTGCCTTGGGAGTGTCTCCTCTGGTTAGAGTATCTCTGAGGAGTTTGGAGTCAATGATCCTCCCCATGACAGTTTTCAGTTGGAAGGGGTCAAGTGGGATTGGAGTGATTGTCCCTGTAGGAAGTTTCTGGGCTGAGGTTGGAAAGGCAGTCCGAGGCTAAGCCGGCATGCAGGGGCTGACATCCCAGGATGTAATGTCCCTGAGTTATGCAGAGGCCTGGATCCCTGGATATGAAGGCCCTGAACCTTTATTTGGAGTCAGATGCATGGCAACTCACTCTAGTATTCTTGCCTGGAGAATTCCATGAACATAGGAGCCTTGTGGGCCTACAGGCCTTAGGATCACAGAGTCGGACATGACTGACTTAGCTGGTAGCTCAGTTGGTAAAGAATCCACCTGCAATGCAGGAGACTCTGGTTTGGTTCCTGGGTCAGGAAGATCCGCTGGAGAAGGGATAGGCTACCCATTCCAGAATTCTTGGGCTTCCCTGGTGACTTAGATGGTAAAGAATCCTCCTGCAGTGCGGGAGACCTGGGTTCGATCCCTGGGTTGGGAAGGTCCCCTGGAGAAGGGAAAGGCTACCCACTGCAGTATTCTTGCCTGGAGAATTCCATGGACAGAGGAGCCTGGCAGGCTACAATCCTTGGAGTCGCAAAGAAGCAGACACGACTGAGTAACTTTGACTTCACAAGAGTTCGAGGTCTGGGGGCTCTTTTGGAGGTCTGCCCCAGAATGGGAGGGGGTGGCTGTGTGTCCCAGAGTATGAGGTTCTGAGAAGTTCCCCGAACTATTGGGTTGATGTGTGTTTCAGAGTTGAGGCCTGAGGCCTATTGAGAGAAGGGGCTGTGCTCTGTACTCTAGGCTTGAAGCTTTGGACTGTGTGAAGCTGGGGATCTGTAGGCTACTTTGTGGGTGTCTTGACCGCAGGGGAAGGTGTGGGTGCTGGTGTGGGGAAACCTGTGTCCCTGGTGTGAGATCTCTGAGATGTTTGGCTTCTGTACCTGCAGGGCCGTGGGCTGCATCCTGGGGGAGCTGTTGAACGGGTCCCCCCTTTTCCCAGGAGAGAACGACATCGAACAGCTTTGCTGTGTGCTTCGAATCTTGGGCACCCCCAGTCCTCAAGTCTGGCCGGTTTGCAGGGGCATTTGGTAGCATTTGGAGGGGTGGGGGTGGGTGTCCTCTCTCCCCCCAGCAGCTCGTAACTCCCCCGCCCTGCATCTTCTGTCTTCTGTCTTATGGCCCCACACCTCCTAGACCCTCCACCTTGGTCCTGGCCCAGCATGGGATCTCCTCCATCCCTGATCTGCTCGAGGGTGGAGGACCAGGGCCCAGCCCCTACTGCTTCCTGCTAATCCCCAGCACACACACAGCCCTTACCAAGCTGGGCATGGAGCAGGCGCCTGAGATGAGCACATGTTCACTCACATCGTGCTGTGAGCTCATGATGTCATGAGTGATGTGGTGCGAGCAGGGGCAGGTGGATGGGGGATCCGTGAGTGAATGGCAGCAGGTGGGTGACAGGAAGCAAGAACTGACGCCTGGGGGCGCTGGCGGGGTGGGCGTCAGCCCTGATGAGCCCCCTTCCCCTCCAGGAGATCACTGAGCTGCCCGACTACAACAAGATCTCCTTCAAGGAGCAGGCGCCCGTGCCCCTGGAGGAGGTGCTGCCCGACGCCTCTCCCCAGGCCTTGGACCTGCTAGGGCGGTTCCTCCTCTACCCACCACAGCAGCGCATCTCTGCCTCCCAGGTAGGGAGACACCCATTGCCCTGACCCTCCTTGTTTGTGCCCCTGTGACCCAGCAGGTTGAGGTCCTCAGAACCTGTGATGGGCTGGGAACAGCACACCTGGAGACAGGGGAGGGAGGGCGTGGAGAAGGTGTGCCTCTCCTGAGCAGACCCTGGAGTGGCAGCAGGTGGCTAGGAGTGGCCGTATTAAAAGGGCATGCCCACCTCGCTGAAGAGTGCATCTTGCTTCTTCATCCCTTTATTCCTTCAAGAAGAATTTACTGGTATCTGGCATGTGCCCAGCATCATCTTGGGTCCTGATCCCGAGTGAACAGACGTGACTTGTTCCTCTGCACTCTCCACCCTGTGGTGGGGCAGGGCAGCCCGTCTGTGGACCTCAAGGGGAGGGATGGTGGGACTGACACTGGGGTCGTGCAAGTCTTCTGGAGAAGGGCAGGGGGGTCTATCATCCCAAGAGAAATGATGAGCAGAGGCCTGGAGAGGAGGACCCAGAAGGGGTGAGCTGTGGCTGCAGGCGAGGGAGGCGGGGAGAACCTGGGCTGATGGCTTATGGTGGCAGGCCTCTGTCATGTGTAGCTGTCCATCTGACCTCCTGGCAGCCTCACCTCCCTGCCCTTGGAACAAGCAGTGTGTTTACATACACCGTCTGCGAGTTCCAGTGTCAGCAAGGCCTTTAGGATGTACTGAAGCCAACCGAGGCTTCCCAGGTAGCACCAGGGATAAAGAATCTGCCTGCCAATGCAGGAGACATTTAAAAAAAGACGCAGGTTCGATCCCTGGGTCAGGAAGATCCTCTGGAGAAGGGAATGGTACCTCACTCCCGTATTCTTGCCTGGGAAATCCTAAGGACAGAGGAGCCTGGCGGGCAAAGAGTTGGACACGACTGAAGTAACTTAGCACGCATGCCCAAAGCCAACCGACCACTTTTCAGCCCCTTGCTGCTGCCTCCCGTCTAAGCGCCCCCTGCCTCCCCACACGTGCCCAGTTGCCTCGCAGAGTCTGCTTCTCCTCCTGCCCATTCAGTCTCTCCTCCACCCGGCAGAGAGAGGGGCCTTGTCCAGGCAGGCTCTCACATCTTCCCCTGCAGGGCTCTCTGCTCAGCACAGAAGTCCAGGTCCTAGTGGCCCACAGGCATCACACACGTGGGACTGTCACATCTGTGACCCTGCAGCTCCCTTTTCCTTGCTCACTCCCTGGGACCCCAGGCCGCCTTCAGGTCCTAAGGTCTGTGCACTTCTGTCCCAGAGACTCACTCATTCAGCTTTCAGATCTCTGCTCAACTGCATCAGATGATTGGTGCTGTGGGAAAGAGAAAGTCAGAGCATGAATAAGGAAAACCAGGGTGGCTGCAGGCCTGAAGAACGGGAGGGTAGGCCCCGATCTGATGCACTGTTCATCTGACTTTTATCTTGTTTATCGCCCCCTGTGCTGTGCGGTGCTTAGTCGTTCAGTCGTGTCCAAGCCCTGACTATATGGAAGACTTGAAGGCAGAGCTCTTTGTTCTGTTCACTGCTACATCTCCTGTCTTTGGAGCGGTGCTGAAACAGTGAACACTCAGAGCTGTTGGGATCATCTTGAATGGAGAATGCATGAATGAGAAATTTCTTCCGGGCAGTATTCACATCCCCCGCTGTCCCCCCAGAGGGAAGTGAGCTGAGCTGGAAGGCTGCAGTGACCGGTCTCCTTTTGCTGTCTCTTGTTCGCTCCCCTCAGGCCCTCCTGCACCACTACTTCTTCACAGCTCCCCTGCCTGTCCACCCCTCGGAGCTGCCGATCCCCCAGCGTCCAGGGGGACCTGCCCCCAAGGCCCACCCAGGACCTCCCCACGTCCATGACTTCCACGTGGACCGGCCCCTCGAGGAGTCACTGTTGAACCCGGAGCTGATTCGGCCTTTCATCCCGGAGGGCTGAGATGCAGGGCCAGGCCGGTTGGCTTGTCCCCCGCGCCCCACTTCCCACCCCTCCCAAGGACAACCCAAGCCACTGGTTCCTCTGCTCCAGCCTGATTTCGACCACAGTGGCCCTGGTCCTGGCCAGACGATGAGGCCATCTAGCCCCAGCAGAGGGCGCCCTCAACCTGTGCTGCCAGCCTCCCACCTATGCACTGCTGAGGGATCCAGAAGGGGGCAGTGAGTTCCACTACCATGCCTGCCATCATCAGGGATTCCACTGGTCAGGGATTGTCCCAGTAGAACCATCTAAGGGAGCCCTGAGTTTAAGATGTCCTCATGTTGGAAACCCAAGTGAGAAGGAAAGTTTGGTTTGATTTTGTTCTCAGACATTAAACACTAGTTCAATTTTGAGATTTATTATAAAAACCCTGAGTAGGTCTATGTGATATACGCCCCTCTTCCATAGAAGAGAGAAAAGAAGTTCATATAGAGAGAAGTGGCCCAGGTGGCATCATCTCTTGGCCCTTGCTTCTCTCTGGTCCTTTGGAAAGTGGCCCTATTCATGGCTACTTTAGTCTTGGGGGCTTCCTAGGTTCTCGATGTAACAGAGCTCCCATTAGAGGTGAGGTGGCAGAAGCCAAGGCCCAGGGGTGGCTCAAGTGGGGGACCCAGTAGTGACCTCCACACCTTAAACTGGTGTGCCAGCATCACCCTCAGGATAAGGGTAGGCTGGGACCACATGAACCTCCTCTTCACTCAGAGATACCTTGCAAATAAGACAGGCATTCCTGGAATTCATTTATTTATTCAGTAAATACCAAAACAATCTGAACTTGCTCTTGTCTTTCTTCTTTAATAATTTGGTAAGCCAATTCTAAAATATATATGTGGAAATGAAAAGGTTTAGAGGAGGGAGAAGCAGGAGAAAAGGAGAAAAGCAATGAAAGGATTTACTGTATCAGACACATACCAAGACATATCACAGGGCTATAGTAAATAAGACAGCGTGCTATTTGTTCATGGATAGATTAAAAGTGAGAGAAACAAGTGAGAGAAACTTACTGGCAGTCTTTTATTCAAAATATACATTTTGTGCTCATACGTATAAACTTCTGCAAGCGCTGAGGTTACAGAGGTGACTGCCACCATCACTGCCTTCTGGGCTCTTTGAGGGTAAAGCACAGTAAACTCAGTTGTTGCTTGCAGGGATGTTCAAGTATCTCTTGACTGTAAAGGTGTTTTAAGGATCTGGCCTCTGCCTGTTTGTCCAGCCACATCTGAAGACTTAAGTTTCAGTCTAGCTCAATTTCTGGTATCTCTCACCTCCATATGAATGTGGGTCTGGACCCAAACCCTGATCACTGACACTCAGCCAGTTCTGCTCACAAAGACTCTATAAACCTTACCCCCACCCCTGACATAGACTCTAGCCTTGACCTTGAGCCTTACATTTAACCTGACCCTCTTACCCTGACCCTGGCATACACCCTCACTCTCACCTTCATTCAGTTCTTTGACAGCCCCTCCCCCGCCTCCCCTGCCCCCAGCCACTGGCCTGGCTTTGATCTTAGCATTGACTCTGATCCTCATCGAAACTCTGACCTCATTTGACCTAGAACTTAACCTTGTCCTTGAACTTGGCTCTCATTTTCACCTTAACCATGACTGTCTAATTGATATTTATCTTACTTTGTTTCTCATGTTGACCCTGATCCTCATGCTGACCATTAACCTGTCCTTCACATTCATCCTGATCTTGGCATCCCTGACAGTGATAGTTTCTCTCACACTGATCATAAACACTGTGATGAGACACTCAGCACCCTCAATCTGATTCTAACCCTCAACTTGACTCTGCCCCTAGACTGAATCCTTACCTAGACAAGGACCCGCATACTGACCCACCCTGCCCTTGAACTTGTATCTTGATGCTGAGCTACACTGTATGTGTGTTAGTCGCTCAGTCATGTCCAACTCTTTGCGACTCTATGGACTGTAACTGCCAGACTCCTCTCATGGTGGAATTCTCCAGGCAAGAATACTGGAGTGGGTTACCCTGCTCTTCTCCAGGGACCTTTCTGACCCAGGGATTGAACTCGGGTTTCCTGCATTGCACGCAGATACTTTACTGTCTGAGCCACTGTACTCAAGCTGAAACTGAAACTAGTCTGCACCCCAAACCTGATCATGACTCTGGCTCTGACACTCATCTTGACATGGACTCACTTGGCTGACAGTACTGACACCCTAATCCCATCATGGCCTTGAACTTGACCCAGACCTTAACCCTGAAATTGAACTTTATGGTGACATAGCCCTTCATGATTATGGTGACTCTGATCCTCAACCTGATCATCACCTCCATCTTGACCTATCCTCATGTTGAAACTTAAGCCTGATTTTGACTATAAGCCAAACTCTGACCCTCTGTGGTAGGCAGACTAATGTTCCCCTAAAAATGCCCACATTCTATAAGCTATGAATATGCTATCTTACACACAGAAGGGATTTTGCAAATGTAATTAAAGGAGTGAGATATAGAGTATCCTGGATTATGCAGATTGGGCCAATGTAATGGGGGTAGAAGAGGGAGAATTGGAGGACAACTTAATTCCTGCCAGCAGGAATAGAAATGGAACCCCACCTTGACTTTTAATTGACCTTGACTTTCACAATGTCGTGCTCACCCTGACACTGACAGTATCCTCACATTGATCTTGACCCTGAATCTGACACTGATTCTAATTCTGAACATCAACCTCACCCTCAACTTGACCCTGAATCCTACTCAGAACTGGACATGCACTGCCAGCCTGAACCCAACTTTAACTTTCATCCCCAAAATACCATCTTTCTTATCCTGACATTCATCCTTTCACTGACCCTCTGCAGTGGAGGCACAACTTGATCGTGATCTTGACTCTCACACTTATCTCAAACTTGAACTGGATTTTTTTTTTTAACTGGATCTCGAATCTAACCCTGGATCTAAAATTTCCCTCCCACTGATCTTGTCTTGAAACTGATTCCAATGACATGACCCTGACCTTTCTCTTATCTTAACCCTTAACCTGACATAGAATTTTACCTCGAACTGGACACTCACCCCAATTTCTGATCTTCATCAATCTGTCCCTGATCTTACCCTCATCCTGTGACACTAACTGCTCTGACACAGCTAGATCATGATCCTCATACACTAACTCTGATCTTTGACATGGTCATGACCAAGTCCAGAGTGAGGTCCGGGGTCAGGGCCAAGGCAGGGGTCATGACAAAGGAGACACTAGGTGAGGGCCAGTGCCAGGGTAAGAGGGAGGCTGGGGCGGGGGGGTGGGTGTCTCTGTGAAGGTGATTGTGAAGGCGAGAGTCACGGCTAGGGCAAAATTCGGGGTGAAAGAATGTTAGGGTGTGTCAGGGTCAAGTGCAGGTAAGAATAAGGGTGGGGTAGATGTCAGATGCTAATGAGGTCAAGGGCGATGATTAGGGTGAAGCTAAGAAAAGGGTCAAGGTCTGGGTAAGAGCCAGCACCAGGGCAAGGGCTCAGGAGGTACTTGGTGCAGGGGCACCGCAAGTTCCAGTGTAAGGGTCAGTGCAAGGGCGAAGGTCAGAACGAGGATAAAATGTCAGTATAAGGCGGTGAGCGAGGTTCTGGACTACTGTTAGGACAAGAGCAAGTGCCAAGGGGCAGCTCAAAAGCCTGTTGAAGACTAACAGAAGCGGAGCCGGCGTGCCTTTACGGCAAGGAGCAACAGCGCCACCGCTGGGCAAGAATTATGCCAGCCGGGCGGCCTGCGGGAAGAAGTTCGGCTTGAGGGGCGGGGCTTACCCTAAGTGGGCGGGGCTCGGCCTACGGGGGGGCGGGAGCGCAGCGAAGGCGTGACTAGACCCCGGCGTCCAGGGCGGCGGGCGCCATGGAACCGCAGTTGGGTTTGCATGAACTGCTGCACGTCTTTTCCTTCTTGGAGGCCCGCGACCTGCTCTGCGCCGCCCAAGTGGACAAGGTAGTGCGTCCTGTCCCAGGTGGGAGGCAGGGCTGGGTTCATGGTCACTGGCCTGTCCACGGTGGGTCCGTTCCCTCTAGGCCTCAGTTTCCCAAATCAGCGAGGGGGCGTGCGGCGGCCCTGAATCCGCCCGGAATCAGCAGAGGATGCTCGTGGCCCTCAGGGTGGTGACCTCCTCAGCGTTTGAAGGGTTCAGTCAGAAAACCTCAACTCCTTCGTCCCTCCTTCTGTCTATAGTGTGTCCAGAGCTCCTGCCGGGTTGACCTGCACTGGGTACCTGTGACAGAATTCACCCCTAAGATTAACTTAAAGGTCCCGCCTCTTCTGGAATGTTCTGGAAGTTCCCTTCTGGGGCCTGCCCGGAAATCCTTGCTCTGCCCGTGAGTGACACCTCCACCTGCAGGCTCGGGCTACCCCTCCTCAGCCAGTCGAACTCCGTACTGGCTGTTCCATGAGTGCCTGTTGAATGCGGTAGTCTGGTGTGCGCTTCTGCGCACGTTACCGGTGTTCTGAGCGCTTTCTCCTCTGTGCGCTCCCTCAGGACAGCTGTAACCAAATCATCGTACAGTGTTGTGTATTTGTTAAATATCTGCTCCTCATCCCCCTCCCTCGCTAGACTCATTCCTAAGAGTGGGGAATTTGTTTCTTGCACCACTGTGTTTAAAATCACTGTATAATCATTGGGTGTATACACTCAGTATATGGCTTGATATTTGTTTCTCAGTCGCCAAGTCGTGTCTCTGCGACCCCATGGACTGCAGCACGCCAGGCCTCTCTGTTGCTTACCGTCTCCTAGAGTTTGCCTAAATTCATGTCCATTGAATCCGTGATGCCATCCAACCATCTCAACCCCCTTGATATTTAGGGTCCTCAGTAAATGTTTGTCGAGTGAAATAATTTTTTCATTTTTAAAAATACATTATTATATCACTTTACAAAAGGTAAACAGACAGACCTTCACCTGCATTGTGTAATTATAATTTAAATGTGTAGAGTAAAATACTGGGTTGTTATCCCCAGTTGTACCAGTAAGGTATTAGGGCTTCCCAGGTGGCGCTAGTGGTAAAGAACCCGCCTAACAGTGCAGGTAACTGTACTTGGTCAGGAACAAAGGTTTCATCCCTAGGTCAGGAGGAGCCCCTGGAGGAGGAAATGGCGACCCACTCCGGTATTCTTGCGGGGAGAATCCCATGGAGGGAGGAGCCTAGTGGGCTGTGGTCCACGGGGTAACAAAGAGTCAGACGCAACAGAAGCGACTAAGCATGCACGCACACCAGTAAGGAAAATGAGTATCAGGTAGTGAGTGCGTTGGCTGAGGTCACCCAGGTAGTCCGCCAACAGATTTAGAAAGGGAGGTGCCTTTTACCCTTTGATAGCAGCAGATTCTCTAGGTTCTGGTTCCCCTGTTAGGTAAAATGAGGTCAGTAAACCCTGCCTCACAGTGTCATCATGAAGGTCAGGTTCTAACAGAGATTCTCAGAGGACTTGAAAGTGAAAGTATTAGTCGCTCAGTTGTGTCTACTCTTTTGTGACCCCATGGACAGACTCCTCTGTCCATGGCATTCTCCAGGCAAGAATACTGGAGTGGATAGCCATTCTCTCCTCAAGGGAATGTTCCTGACCCAGGGATCAAACCCAGGTCTCCTGCATTGCAGGTAGATTCTTTACCGTCTGAGCCACCAGGGAAGCCCCAAGTTGGGTAGCATCTATTTGTAGGTTTCATTACATATTATAGTTATTAGGGATTATAAGTATTAGGGAAATAAGATCTTGCTTGGGTTTTGAACTGGGAACTGTGTAAAAGGAGAATGGATAATCTTGCCAGGTTTGATCTTTGCAAAATATCAACTTTACATTCCTTCCAGCCAAAAAAATCCCCTCCCCCTTTTTTTTAAATTTGGCTGTACTGGTTCTCGGTTGTCACACACAGAACCTTCAGTTTTCACTGCAGCATGCAGGATCTAGTTCGCTGATCAAGGATCAAACCCAGGTCCCTGCATCGGCAGTGTCTTAGCGCCTGGACTACCAGGGAAGTCTCCAAAAAGACTTAAGGGCTGAAATATTTTGCACTTGGATGAGTGAGGGCTGCAGAAGTAGGAGCCTGGGCTCAGACAGGATGGTTGTTACTTCTGCCAAGGCCGGGTAAGCCACACATCTGGATGGGAGCCTCAGTAGGTCTGGGCCACAGAAAGCTCCGGAGTGGTTTCCATGAGGATGGGTGGGCTGCTGAATCCAGGGTGGCCCAGCTAGAGAGGCCAAGAGGTTCCAGGATGCAGGTGTGGCCTGAGGGAGCGGGAGGCATGGCACTCTGATCCTGTCCTAGGGCCACCTGAGCCTCTTCCAGACATTTCTGCAGAGAACAGTTTGTGGGAACAGGGCACATTTGCCCTCCCCATATAGGAGTTCCGTTCTGCCACCTTGACATCTCTGGGACATCTCTTTAGCCAGGGCCTTGATTTACTCCATTGCAGCAGCCTTCTTACGGGCCCTGCTGCTCTGCCTTCTTCAGTTCTTCCTTCTCATAGCATCTAGTGACCTTTCTGAAACAGTTCGGCTAGTCACTCTGCCGTTCACAATTCTCAAGTGACTTCTCACAGTTTTTGCCCTTCCAATGTTGGTCTAAGTCTGTCTCCAGCTCCTTTCTCTGTGTTCTGATTCAGGCAGCCTGCTCATCATCTTTTTCCACACTTGTGAATCTTTGCTGAGGTGGATGTCTCTCCCTGAAATTGCTTCAGGCATTTTCTTAGAGGACAGCCACTCATCCTTCAGGGCTTGATCCATCATTTCTTCTGAACCTCTTGGCCCTAGTTGAGTTGGTCATTCTTTCCTTCCTCATTCGTTGTTTGGTGGGTTTTATTTGATTGTCTGAATATGTCACCTCAGGGTGAGTGTTCTTGAATGCCAACACTGGAACTCATCAGCACTCTGTCGCCTCCACAGGGCCTGGCAGGCTGGGCATTGATTGCTTGCTGACTGAACAGATGACTGTCTTCTCTCCCCTCCTTTTCTAGGTCTGGAATGAGGCTTCAAGGACCAAGGAACTGTGGAGGTGAGTGAAGGAAAAACCAGGGCTCTCAGGAGAGAGTATACCTTGAAAGAGAGAGGGGTGGCCCTTTTTAGCACTCACTGAATTTCTGTTGAGACAGGAACAGACAATCCACAGCCCCTACCAGCAGGAAACTCCTCCCTACTTGGAGGAATAAGACTTTTCTTTAATAGTGTATTGAAATAAAAGAGACTTTGTTAATCAAGTGGAGGTTGATCTTGTGGGCAGGGGCACCAAACTCAGGGGCAGAAGTGTATAGCAGATTGAATGCAGCTGGCTGATAGACAAACTGATGGACAGATAAGCCATTTTGATTTCATCTTTGCTCTAATGGCATTGTTCAAGTAGGTATATCTTTCCTTTTCTCCTTTGCTTTTCACTTCTCTTCTTTTCACAGCTATTTGTAAGGCCTCCTCAGACAGCCATTTTGCTTTTTTGCATTTCTTTTTTTGGGGATGGTCTTGCTCCCTGTCTCCTGGACAATGTCACGAGCCTCCATACATAATTCATCATGCACTCTGTCTATCAGATCTAGTCCCACAAATCTATTTCTCACTTACACTGTATAGTCAAAAGGGATTTGATTTAGGTCATACTTGAATGATCTAGTGGTTTTCCCCCACTTTCTTCAATTTAACTCTGAATTTGGCAATAAGGAGTTCATGATCTGAGCCACAGCCAGCTCCCAGTCTTATCTTTGCTGACTGTATAGAACTTCTCCATCTTTGGCTGCAAAGAATATAATCACTCTGATTTCGGTGTTGACTATCTCGTGATGTCCATGGGTAGAGTCTTCTCTTGTTTTGTTGGAAGAGGGTGTTTACTATGACCAGTGTGTTCTCTTGGCAAAACTCTTATTAGCCTTTGCCCTGCTTCAAGGCAGAATTGTACTCCAAGGCCAGAATTGTGTGTGGATCACAATAAACTGTGGAAAATTCTGAAAGATATGGGAATACCAGTCCACCTGACGTGCCTCTTGAGAAACCTGTACGTGGGTCACGAAGCAATAGTTAGAACTGGACATGGAACAACAGACTGGTTCCAAATAGGAAAAGGAGTACGTCAAGGCTATATATTGTCACCCTGTTTATTTAACTTATATACAGAGTACATCATGAGAAATGCTGGGCTGGAAGAAGCACAAGCTGGAATCAAGATTGTCGGGAGAAATATCAATAACCTCACATATGCAGGTGATACCACCCTTATGGCAGAAAGTGAAGAGGAACTAAAGAGCCTCTTGATGAAAGTGAAAGAGGGGAGTGAAAAAGTTGGCTTAAAGCTCAACATTCAGAAAACTAAGATCATGGCATCTAGTCCCATCACTTCACGGCAAATAGATGGGGAAACAGTGGCTGACTTTATTTTTTTGGGCTCCGAAATCACTGCAGATGGTGATTGCAACCTTGAAATTAAGCTTTAATTAAGTAAATTTACTTAATTGCAGCTTACTCCTTGGAAGGAAAGTTATGACCAACCTAGACAGCATATTAAAAAGCAGAGACATTACTTTGTCAACAAAGGTCCGTCTGATGCCGAGAAATTGATGCTTTTGAGCTGTGGTGTTGGAGAAGACTCTTGCGAGTCCCCTTGGACTGCAAGGAGATCCAACCAGTCCATCCTAAAGAAAATCAGTCCTGAATATTCATTGGAAGGACTGATGCTGAAACTGAAACTCCAGTACTTTGGCCATCTGATGTGAAGAATTGACTCATTTGAAAAGATCCTGATGCTGGGAAAGATTGAAGGTGGAGGAGAAGGGGACGACAGAGGATGAGATGGTTGGAAGGCATCGCTGACTCAGTGGACATGAGTTATGGTAAACTCCAGGAGTTGGTGATGGATAAGGAGGCCTGGCGTGCTGCAGCCCACGGGGTCGCAAAGAGTCGGACAAGACTGAGCAACTGAACTGAACTTGTAGTACAGTGCTCACAATTGAAATGGGTAGAATGCCAACCCTAAACCCTAGATTTTGTTTTCATTTTTACTGATAAGCCAGGGTAGGAATTTCCCTTTGAGTAACACAAGTAAGTATATTTCTTGCAGCAATTCAAAAAATCTCTGCAGCAACTTATCACCTAACCCCCACATATGTGTCATGTGTCACCATATTGTATGCACCTCGAGGTTCCTGAAGCAGATTGTTCAGCTGTCTGCAAGCCAAGCCACAGATGGGTTTTCAGTTGATTATTATTTTACAGTATCTGGTGTTAACTCTTTTTAGCATAAAGTCATTGCTTAAGATTGTACCTATGTTCATATAAAAACACTGGGTTTCTGTTTTTGGGACAACACATTCCAGGAGCATTGTCACATGCACATAGCATTTCTGGTGCTGTGCCTACATGGGTTCCAGACCCAAAAGTTCCTCAGGCCCATTGAAATTCTTATGGACACAGTAAATGAACGTGATTAACTGATCATGTGTTTTAATAGGTACTCTAGTTCTAATTTAAAATACTTCATGACCTGTTTTTCCCCTTTGACCTTTTAATTAAATTGTGCCATTTCTTTAATACACTAAGCATTAGTTTTCTGGTTAAAAGTAAAACTGCATACATTTCCATTTGTTTAAGGTATGTAATTTCTGTTGTGTACATTAGATTGTTTTGCTATCAGTTGCTGTCTGAAAGGTTTTGATGCCAAGGGTTTTGATTTTTTCACTTGATACATCTTTGTATTTCAGAGATGTATATACTTTACTCATATGCACACTTCAACCATATTGACAGTCTGCCCTTTTTTGGTCAGATCGTTTGGTTTTATTTCTTCTGAATATTCATCATGGTTCCTACTTATGGTTTGATGTATAATGGCCTTAAAGATGTAGAAACAGGCTTCACTTCCACAAAGAAACATGCTTTCTTCCTTTTTTTTTCTTAAAACTACATTGTCTTCTTGGTCTAGTTTTTATTTTCAAACTGTTTAAGTTGACATATGTGTACAAGAAATTCCCCTTTCTATTTCATCTAAATGAAAATCAACAACATGAGAGTGATGATGTGAGGCAGCTGATATTCAGCTTCTTAGTCCAGGAGATGAAACGAATGGTGAAGGCCATGGTGCAGCTGATTCTTTTTTTTTTTTTTTTGACTGTGCCATTCAGCTTGCAGGATCCTCGTTCCCCAACTAGAGACTGCACTAAGGTCCTCAGCAGTGAAAGTGCAGAGTCCTAACCACTGAACTGCCAGGGAATTTCCTGAAAGCCCATTCTTTTTTTTTTTTTCTTTTTTTTTTTTTTTTAATTTATTTATTTATTTTTTTTATCACAACCATAGTGTATCTTTTTTTTTTTTTTTTACATGTATTCCCCATCCCGGTCCCCCCTCCCACCTCCCTCTCCACCCAATCCCTCTGGGTCTTCCCAGTGCACCAGGCCCGAGCACTTGTCTCATGCACCCAACCTGGGCTGGTGAACTGTTTCACCCTAGATAATATACGTGTTTCAATGCTGTTCTCTTGAAACATCCCACCCTCGCCTTCTCCCAGAGTCCACAAGTCTGTTCTATACATAGGAGTCTCTTTTTCTGTTTTGCACATAGGGTTATTGTTACCATCTTTCTAAGTTCCATATATATGTGTTAGTATACTGTAATGGTCTTTATCTTTCTGGCTTACTTCGCTCTGTATAATGGGCTCCAGTTTCATCCATCTCATTAGAACTGATTCAAATGAATTCTTTTTAATGGCTGAGTAATATTCCATGGTGTATATGTACCACGGCTTCCTCATCCATTCATCTGCTGATGGGCATCTAGGTTGCTTCCATGTCCTGGCTATTATAAACAGTGCTGCGATGAACATTGGGGTACACGTGTCTCTTTCAGATCTGGTTTCCTCGGTGTGTATGCCCAGAAGTGGGATTGCTGGGTCATATGGCAGTTCTATTTCCAGCTTTTTAAGAAATCTCCACACTGTTTTCCATAGTGGCTGTACTAATTTGCATTCCCACCAACAGTGTAAGAGGGTTCCCTTTTCTCCACACCCTCTCCAGCATTTATTGCTTGTAGACTTTTGGATAGCAGCCATCCTGACTGGCGTGTAATGGTACCTCATTGTGGTTTTGATTTGCATTTCTCTGATAATGAGTGATGTTGAGCATCTTTTCATGTGTTTGTTAGCCATCTGTATGTCTTCCTTGGAGAAATGTCTGTTCAGTTCTTTGGCCCATTTTTTGATTGGGTCATTTATTTTTCTGGAGTTGAGCTGGAGGAGTTGCTTGTATATTTTTGAGATTAATCCTTTGTCTGTTGCTTCATTTGCTATTATTTTCTCCCAATCTGAGGGCTGTCTTTTCACCTTGCTTATAGTTTCCTTTGTTGTGCAAAAGCTTTTAAGTTTCATTAGGTCCCATTTGTTTATTTTTGCTTTTATTTCTAAAATTCTTGGATGTGGGTCATAGAGGATCCTGCTGTGATTTATGTCGGAGAGTGTTTTGCCTATGTTCTCCTCTAGGAGTTTTATAGTTTCTGGTCTTACATTTAGATCTTTAATCCATCTTGAGTTTATTTTTGTGTATGGTGTTAGAAAGTGTTCTAGTTTCATTCTTTTACAGGTGGTTGACCAGTTTTCCCAGCACCACTTGTTAAAGAGGTTGTCTTTTTTCCATTGTATATCCTTGCCTCCTTTGTCGAAGATAAGGTGACCATAGGTTCATGGATTTATCTCTGGGCTTTCTATTCTGTTCCATTGATCTATATTTCTGTCTTTGTGCCAGTACCATACTGTCTTGATGACTGTGGCTTTGTAGTATAGTCTGAAGTCACGCAGATTGATTCCTCCAGTTCCATTCTTCTTTCTCAGGATTACTTTGGCTATTCGAGGTTTTTTGTATTTCCATACAAATTGTGAAATTATTCGTTCTAGTTCTGTGAAAAATATCGTTGGTAGTTTGATAGGGATTGCATTGAATCTGTAGATTTGAAAGCCCATTCTTATCTGAAGGGGACAGTTCTCTGTGGCCCCAGACAAGTTTTATCAGGTGGTAATTTGATTTCAATATAGCTAAATCTTCTTTTACCTGATTTGTGTGTGAAATTTGATTTTTAAGTGTGTGCAACCACTTCATGTAGGCTAGTCCTATGCAAAGGGATTCCCTAGTGGCTCAGATGGTAAAGAGTATGCCTGCAATGCAGAAGACCCGGGTTCGATCCCTGGGTTGGGAAGACCCCTTGGAGAAGGAAATGCCAACCCACTCCAGTACTCTTGCCTGGAAAATCTCATATACAGAGGAGCCTAGCAGTCCATGGGGTTACAGAGAATTGGACATGACTGAGCGACTTCACTTTTGCTTTCAGTCCTAAGCAGACCAGACAAGGTAATCTGGCTGCCCATTCTGCCCACAGGCTGTGAGTATGCTACTTCTGGTAGAATAAGCAGAGTTTCAGTGAGTACAGGGAAACCTGCATCCCACCTCAGCACTGGATCCCTCAAAGGAAATTGAGGCCTATGTAGGCAAAGTGAGTTGTCCAGGCTAATGTTAATAGGTGCTGAAACTGGGAATTGAAGCTAGGCCTACTGATGTCAAAACACCTTTTAATGACTCCTTTTCTGCCTGGGACTGGGGCCTGTGTTTCAGGCAGCTGTGTCTGAGACGCTGGTCCTCCTGTAAAGCCTCCCAGATGACCCTGGGCACACAGACATGGAAACAGTACTATCTCCGCCGATCTGAGCTCGAGTTCCGAATGGCATCTGGGCGGCCAGGGGACTTTACCTGCAGAGCCCTTGCTGGGCACAAAGGTATGGGGTGACAAAGTGGTAACTCTGTACATTCCCACTGCTTCCCTGGTCACGTCTCCAGGGATTTAGTCTTTCAGCCAGTTAGTTGGAAAGTGCCACTTTATGAGGATATGCCCTTGCTGGGCTCTATCCTTGTTCTATGTAATTTGATCCTCACAGAGATCATGACATCTGTTTCAGAGTAGAAAGAAACTAGCATAAGGAAGTTGTTCCCAGTTACATGACCAGTGGGATGGCAGGCAGTCCTGGGCATGATACCCGGGTTGTAAGTCTGAAGCCCTAATTCTGTGTGTCCACCACTGTGCCCTGAATCACACTGCTTCTCAGAGAGAGAGAGGGGGGACCATCCCACCTCCCAAGCTGAATGTTCGTATCCTGAGCACCCACATGTGTGCTCAAGGCAAGTCTGTGTCCTCTTTCAGGAGAGATAGATAATCTGGCCTACGTCTCAACCAACGAGTACCGATTTGATGGTCGGGAGAAGTCCGTGGTGTGCACCATCTCCTCAGATGGCACCGTGCGTGCCTGGGATCTGCATGAGGTGAGCTGCCTGGGAGGGGCCAGGATGAGTGCTGTGGATTCTGCTGTGTCCTCAGCCTTGCGGCCCTTTGCCTTTATTCTCTTTAACCATCACAGTCACCTTGTAAGGTGTGGGAGACCCATTGTGCAGTGAAAAGAGTGAGCCGCAGGAGGCTCAGTCACTGTGCCAGGTCACTCTTCAAGCTTGAGTCTGATCGATCGCAAATGCCCTTGACTGTCCGCTGCCCTGCCTCAGGGAGATGGGCATTTTTATAGTGCCTGATGGAGGCTGTTCATTCAAGGGGATGGCAGCTGGCTTGCCCATTTGTGATGTCCACATTGGAGCTGATGCCGGCCTCTGGGTGGTTTTGCCCAGATAATGCAACTTCTACTCACCCATTTGCAAACTAAGTGTTAAAAACTTCGATAACTTACTAGTAATTTCAGACTTGGTTGGCACTGATAGTTAAAAAGTTTTCCTATCCATTTTCTCACTTGATTCCCTTGGTAGCCATTATTATTCACAGTATTCATTATTATTATCATCCTAATTTTATACAGGTTTAGACTGAGACAGAAAGGAAAGGCATCTGAGTTGAACCACGTGGTCACTTGCAGATAGATCCAGGGCTTCTGCCTGGGCCCATGGATCTTTTCCTGGAAAACTAGATAACTTGATGTTTTCAAACACACTAGACAAGAAGAGGTCCCTCTAGGGCCTTGCATTATTAAGTAGACAGACTTGGTGAGGTTGTTGCTCATCTTGTGCTGTTGTTCAGGTTTGCTGGACGTGGCAGTTTCCTTCCACGTAAACTCCTGAGTAGGGCACCAGGAGGCCCTCCCTAACTTCCCGCAGATGGCCCGTGAACAGGGCACTGTGGTCAGGGATCTCTTGACTTCTCCATCTGTGTGGAAGCTGCATTCCTGAGTCCCCGTGCCTGCCTTGGGGGTTGCTCCTCTGCCCAGACTTCATGGTAGACGCCATGAGCGAGAATGGTGTGAACCGTGTTAGGTGATTGGGGTGCTTGACTGCCAGTGAATGAGTGAATCCGAAAGCCCTACTTGGGCTCCAGCCCAGGATTCCGACAGATGTCAGATGACACCCCAGGCCATCTGAGGGACTCTAGAAACTGGGATAGGAACTCGGAAAGGGGGGAAGGTTGGGGGCACAGGATGGGAGCAGTGAGAGGGCAAAGGGGCAGAGCAGTTTTGGAGTGAGTTTTGGATAGTTATAATTTGCTTTGATTTTCAATCATAAAACATTATCAAGGCTTTTATGTAAAAGGAAAAATGGGACTAAAAGATAATTCGTGAGAGGTAAAAAAAAAATTGCCTTTCCTTCCACTTTCCTAAAGTTATATTTCCAGAGGTAACCACTTTTTTATTCATTTCTGGTCTTATTAAATTTTATATTTTATTAATAGATTCTGTTTCTTGGTCTGTATACTTTAGAGAGTATCTGTTGACTGCTTTAAAAATTACATTTTTAATTACTAGGAACCCTTTCATATTCTCTGGTTATTATTATTATTTTTCTTTGTTTAAAGGATACAGTTATTTGCATTGTATGTCTTTCCTCCATAGTCAGTTTTTCACTTGTTTATCATGGATTTTTCTCTTCCATGTGCTTTGTTTTCCTCATATATATGCCATGATGTTTGACATAATTCTAAGGGAAGGTCTCTGGTGAACATGGGTGCATGTAGCTGGTTTCTGTCTCATTGCAGTTGTGTTGTCCTGAAAGAGACCTGCCTCAGGCTGTGGACATGAGACCTTGCAGGCTTAGTAGCTTAGGGATCCAGGGCAGGAATGAGACCCAAAGTCTGGGAAGTACCATAGTTGCCAAAACAAAAAGATCTTGACTTGAATAGAAAGGGCTTTGGTGCAGGAATCAGGAGACCTTTCATTAAGACCTTTTCTTTGTCTAGTCAGCAGACCAGAGAGCAAATACTTCAAGCATTGTAAACCATGTGATTCTGCAACAACTTAACTCTGTGGCTGTAATGCAAAAGCAGCTATAGATAACAGGTAAACAAAAGGGAGTGGTTGTGTTCCAATATAACTATGGACACTCAAATGTGAGTTTCATGTTGTTTTCAAGTGTCATTAAATGCTTTGTTTTTTTCCTTTAACTAAAATTCAAAAATGGGCAGTAGGCTGGGTTTGGGTGCAGGCTGTGGTTGAACTCTGCTGTGGTCTGTTTATTACAGGGCTTGACCACTCTGCATCCATTCTCCTTGCTTTCCCTATCTTAATCCCTCTTGTGAGCACATCGCCAATCTTACTTTATTTTTAAAAAGTTCAGTCATTCGGCTGGAGTCATACTATATGTAGCCTGTTTCTGTGCTTTGTTCCCCTGATCACTGCTTTTGATTCTGACATGAGAAGGGGAGTTTCACTGCTACTTTGCCTACTTCCATACCCCTGGCCACTGGGGGGTAATGTGTGGTCTCCGAGACCTACTTGACATGAGCCAGTCACCGGTGCAGAGTTTCTACTAGTGATGGTCTTGTTAGCTGTTCCAGCAACAGAAATCAACTGTTGATATGTTGACCTGAGGAGAAAGAAAGAAAAGAAAGGAAGAATACTGGGATATCATGACTAGGAAAAGATTGTGCTAACAAGATAACACCTGATACAAAAAGGACCATAATAACTACAAATTGGAAGGAAAAAAACCTTGTCGCAGCTCTGGAAACTGAAACAACGGCTAGAGGATTGGCTCTCTGATGCCCTTTGTTAATGTGCCGTGGGCCTGCTCTTTACCTCACTCTTCTAGCTTTCAGAATCCTGGGAGAGACCGTGGAGCTGGGAGCCAGCCCAGCTCAGATCAGTTGTTCTCCTCTGTGCTGATGGCCATGATGGGGCATCACTGGGCACCCCGATGGGAAGGGTGTGTTCTGAGCAGGGCACCTGCAGTTACCCAACAGAAACTGTGTGCATCCATGAGCCTAAATTAGCTTATCTGTAAACTTGGGCTCCCTGGGGACCAAGTGAGATGCTCTGTGTGGAAGTTCTCTGTATGCCGCCCTCTGGAACTCATGTCCTGAGTACAGCTCCAGTCCAGGGCAGGGTGGAGGGTAGTGTTGGTCCTGCCTCCCTGCCTGGCCTTCTTCAGTTAAGCCATAGTTGACCACTGGGAGTGCTTCAGACATCCCAGTGTACACCCCAGGCCCCTCCTCCAGTCCTCCTGGCCATGGCTCTAGCCCCAGGCAGTCTCTGCACCCACGCTCAGCCATTGCTCTCCTCTAGGACAATTGTCTCCTTTGTGGTAGAATGTTACTTTTTTTTTTTAATGAATTTTATTTATTATTTATTTAAGCTTTTGGCTATGCTGGGTCTTCATTGCTGCATGATCTTCTCTTGTTGCCAAGCAGGCTCTAAGGGTGCGCAGGCTTCCGTAGTTGTGGCACGAGAGCTTGATTTCCCTACGGCATGTGGAGTCTTTCTGGACCAGGGATCAAACCCATATCCTCTGCATTGGCAGGCAGATTCTTAACCAGTGGGCCACCAGGGAAGTCCAGGGGAACATTACTTTGTGTAGTATCCCATATCGTGCTGTACATCCTGTGAGGATGGGGATCACACCGCTCATCCTGAATGTCCCCAGTGTGCCCTGGGTGATGGTTGAATGAATGAAACTAGTAAGTGTTTAGGAGATATATGAGCCCTGTGTGAGTTGTTACATTCATTTTGTTCTTGCCCAGGGCATGGAGCTGTGGTCGAGCCCTGTACAGTCTACTCCTCTGGTGCATCTGGTGACCTACCCTCGGCTGCAGCTGGTTGTCACTGTGGATGAGACAGGGCTGATCAAAGCATGGGAAGCAGAGAATGGGTGTGAGCAAGCCGCCTTCTTGCTGCCCATGTATTCATCTACATTGGAGGCCTGTGACATTCCAGAGGGCCCCCTCTTGCTGGTGAGTAACCCGGCTCCTAGGAGCCTCTCCTGTTTCCCAGCATCTGTGGACCTGGCACCAGACCACGTGTCAGTGGCGCCTCAAGCCAGGCCCTCCATGTGGCAGACCAGGTGACCTCGTCATTCTGCTTGGTCCCCCCCGCTCCTCCTTGCCTGCCATGTGGAGGGCAGACTCCACATCCCCCTTCAGTTCTGACATGCCACAGCCTGCTCCCTGGACCTGTCTCTGCAACCTCTCACCCTCTCACAGTGAGGTCCAGCCCCATGGGCTGCCGGTGCTTTCCTGTCCGCATGCCCCTGCTTTCCTGTCTCCTGGTCCTGCTCATAGTCTTTCTTCTGCTTCTGGTTACTTCTCACTACTGCATTCTCACCCTTCTCTCCCCCTTTCAAGTCTCAGCAAGGGTCCAACCCAAAGGAAAACTGAGGCATGTTCAGTAGAATGCAAGAATTTGCCTGAGATGATGAAGGCCTTCTGTTGCAGGGACATTTGGTTTGGAGGTGATTCTTGGGTATCGTGAGGGAGCATTTGACCAGAGAGAAATGGTGAAAGTGGGTGTAAGTTGGCAGGTCAAGGATGTGGCTCTCACCTGGCAGCAGTATCCTCCTCCTGGAGGGAAGGAGGTCTTTGAGAGTGTGGACAAGCTGGCCTCCCAAATACAAAGATGAGCAGACCCCCAGGAACAGTTTCATATGTAAACAGGACTTAATTCTATAAAGGAACTAAGCTCATGTACCAAAACAGTAAGACTTGATGAAACATATTTTATATAAATGACTCTATAGTTGTTTAAAGAAGACTTTGGAATAAGTGTAATTAATACCTCCAGAGCAATTTGAGAATATATTGTATAGAGGAAGAGGAAGCCAGTGTAGTTCTCTCTGGGGAATGATAGACCACATGATTCGCACTTCCTTGTTGGTGAAGGACAGTTAGGAAAGTTAGAATATATATCAAGTCAGAGAGCTAAAAATAGCAAATAGTTTCTAGGCCAAGATTCAGAAGATGGCAGAAAGCACAGTGCTGAGCCTAACGCTGGGGCTGCTTTTGTTCTGAAGATGTTTACTCCAAGGCCAAGGAGCTGAGTATGGAGATAGCCAAGTAGATAGAGGTTGGCGTGCAGGGCCATCAAGGATTGGAGCCCTGTGAATCCTCTTACATTGGGTGTGTTATTGAATGTTGGAACCTGAGAGTTGTGGGGGAGGGTCTGAAAATAAACAGTCCCTGCAATGACTGCAGCTGCCCAGTTACCTGGTGGTAGTAAATGAAAATCCTTTCTAGAGAAAGATAAGACTCCCCATGCCTCTCTTTTCAAATACAGTGTTTAGCACTCCCTTAGAGATAAGTAGCCATAAGATAACATGACCTACCCAAGGCAATCTACAGATTCAGTGCAGTCCTTACCAAACTACCAGTGGTGTATATTCTTGGGCTTCCCTTATGGCTCAGCTGGTAAAGAATCCACCTGCAATGCAGGAGACCTGGGTTCTGTCCCTGGGTTGGGAAGATCCCCTGGAGAAGGGAAAGGCTACCCACTCCAGCATTGTGGCCTAGAGAATTCCGTGGACTGGATAGTCCATGGGGTCGCAAAGAGTGGGACACTGAGCAACTTTCACTTTCACTTTCAGAGATAAGTAGAAATAAAATAATATGACCTACCCAAGGCAATCTACAGATTCGGTGCAATCCTTACCAGACTACCAGGTTTTCACAAAACTAGAGCAAAATTTTTTTAATTTATATAGAAACACAGAAGATCCTGGAATAGCCAAAGTAATCTTGAAAAAGAAAAAGGGAGCTGGAGGAATCAGATTCCCTGACTTTAGACTATACTGCAAAACGACAGTAATCAAAATAGTATGGGACTTGCACAGAAACAGGAATATAGGTTAATGGAACAAAATAGAAAGCCCAAAGATAAACCCATGCACCAGTAGTCAATTAATCTATGACAAAGGAGGCAAGAATATACAGTGGAAAAAAGACAGTCTCTTCAATAAAGTGGTGTTGGGAAAACTAGACAGCTACATGTAAAATAATGAAATTAGAACACTCCCTAACACCATACACAAAAATAAACTGAAAATGAATCAAAGACCTAAATGTAAGGTTAGACCCTATAAAATTCCTAAGAGGAAAGCATAGGCAGAACACTCTGACATAAATCGCAGCAAGATCCTTTTGGATTCACCTTCTAGAGTAATGAAAATAAAAACAACAATAAACAAATGGGGTGTAACTAAAAGCTTCTGCACAACAAAGGAAAAATTATCAACAAAATGAACAGACAGCCCACAGAATGGGAGAATAATCCCCAAAGTATGCAAACAGCTCATGGAGCTTGCTCTCTGTCTCTCTCTCTCATATATATATAAACAATATATATATATATATAAAACAATAAAAAAATGAACAGAAGACCTAAATAGACATTTCTCCAAAGAAGACATTCTAAAAAGACCAAAAAGCACATGATAAGGTACTCAGCATCACTAATTATCAGAGAAATATAAATCAAAAGTACAGTGAGATACCATCTCAAACCAGTCAAAATAGCCATCATGAAAAAAGTCTACAAACAATAAATGCTGGAGAGGGTGTGGAGGAAAAGAAATCCTCCTACAGTATTGGCGGGAATGTAAATTGGCACAACCACTATGGAGAACAGTATGGAGGTTCCTTAAAAAACTTAAAAATACAACTTAAAATATGATCCAGCAATTCCACTCTTGGGCATACACCTGGAGAAAACCATTATCCAAAAGAATACATGTATTCTAATGTTCACTGCAGCACTATTTACAATAGCCAAGACATGGAGGCCATGGGTGGTGATATGAGTGTTTACTTTGTAATAATTTACTGAGCTCTTATGTTTACGTTTTGTGCCATTTTCTGTCTGTTATATACATCAATTAAAAAGTTAAGCATATAGGAGAATTAGTGAGCTGGAAGATAAAAGTAATTCTGTAGAATGCAATGGAGATATCAAGAGTGGTAAATGTAAAAGAGAGGCTGAGAGACAGAGACCAGTGCTTCTCAGACTTGAATGGGATGTTATTTGCCTGTGGGCCTCATTTAAATGGAGATTCTGATTCAGTGGGTCCTTGGGAATACCTGAGATTCTGAGTTTTTTAGGAACTTCTTGAAGATATTGATCCCGCAAGATCCTTTTGGATTCAGGTCACAGACCACACTTGGAGTAGCAAGGCCACAAAGGACCCATGAAAAATTTTAGTATTTGTTTATTTATATCTTAGGAGTAGATGAGTCAGGGTGAAACTGTTTAGTGTCATTTCATGGGGTTCCAAAGAGCCCTGATCTTTTATGTCTCCTCGCAGAAAGAATCCAGCAAAAGGTAAAGTGATAGATACGTGATTTATTAGAATAAGGTGCTTATGAGGCTTACAAGCAAATGGGCGAGAGAGCGCTGTGTCCTGAGAACTTAGTGGGCTACAGTTTTATAATCAAAGGAAAAGTAAGGAGGAGGAGAAGGTCGTCTTTGTCTTTCTTGAATAGATGTAACGCTTCCATTATCAGTTCCTCCTCCAGGTTGAGCAGGGGAGTTTTCTTGTCTCTACATGGTCCAGCTAAGTCCACAAGTTACTGTTTTCATGTGTCCAGAGAGCATGTCCTAGGGATCATCAGCTGACTGAGCTCCCTGGGCAGGATGTGGTCTCATGCCACCATTGGTTTGCAGTTTTGGGGGCATGTCTCATGCTTCTGTCGCTAAGCAAACCAGCTTGGTTTTGAGGTTAACCAAATTTGCTTTCTTGAGTGATCATTAACTCCCAGGGGTCTCCCCAATTTTTTAAACTTACAATCCCCTGGTGGGAATTAACTATTTTATGGCCTATTTTGTCCCTTTACTCTTTCCCTATCAAGCTGGGGGGTGGGGGTGGGGACATAAGAAACGTTTGACAAGATGTATTTTTCCAAAACAGACTAGGGACATTAATCCATGAAGGTCAAGAAGGTCCTGCAAACCCTGAGCAAGGTAAATAAGAATAAATCTGCACATAGACCCATCAGAGTGAACTGAGATAATTGAAGACTAAGACAGATCTATTTAATAGCAGTGAGGGGAAATAAAACTACCTTAAATGTAATAGTAATGAGACTGCTTCAGGCAGTGGGAGAATGATCACAGGTGAATTTTCAGAAGAAGCAGGAAAGACTGTTGAGCAAGAGTCATGGTAAATCTTAGGAAATCTAAACGAATATCACCTGTATAAAGCAGCAGCAACAATGCCTTGTGGATTTTATATGTAGAAATAAAGTGAATGACTTCACCATTTAGGTTAGGAGAAGGTTATGAGGAACTAGGTCTACTAAGCTCCTTGAATTGTCCAAGATTAAATGTACCTGTTAGTCATATACTTTATAAGGCAGTTTGCAAACAGTTATTTCTCACCTAACTCCCAAAATAGTATACAGCAGGTAGCTTCTAAATCATAGGAGGAAGATCAGTGTGTCTTGTGGTTTCCCTCTAGGGGCAGGATCAACCCCGACCCAAAGTTTGGCTTGGTTACTGTCAAAAAAAAAAAAAAAAAAAAAGCACAACCTAGAAGTTGAGAGTTTTGCTTTATTCAGCAGACTTTGAGGTTTTCGCATCTCAGATGACCTTAAGAAAACGGTTCCGAAGAGGCAATGGTGGGGACCCAGGATATATAGGATTTTTTTGCAACAAATGACCAGGTGGTTGGATCAAAAGATTACTATTAATTAAAGAAAACCAGATATGATATCTCAAGGAATTTAACACTCCTCTATGTATGGGAAAATGCAAGAGTCTAAGCTTACTGAATTGTTCCTTTGATATGCACCTTCCTTTGATGTGGGCTTCCCTTGTGGCTCAGCTGGTAAAGAATCCGCCTGCAATGTGGGAGACCTGGGTTCGATCCCTGGGTTGGGAAGATTCCCTGGAGAAAGGAAAGGCTACCCACTGCAGTATTCTAGCCTGGAGAATTCCATGGACTGTATAGTCCATGGGGTCGCAAGAG